AAATACTTTGCCAAATTCAGTTTTTATAGTCTTATTATTGAAACAATCTAAACCAAAGTTTTTGAAAAACAAAGAAAAAGATACACAGTATCCTGTTTGTTCAGTTCCCCCATTCTTTTTTTCATTAAGGGAACACACATTGTATTCTTTAGGAATCAAACGCCACTTTTCATGGAATGGCACTAACATGTAACACTGGAGGTTCCATGATCACTGCCATAAAAATACACCTGCTAATGTTTCTAATTTCAAAATTTTACCATTACATGTTTAAATGTTGAATACTGCTTAACCTGGTGCTATTGGGTGTGAACAGCAGCATGCACTTTCCAGTACTTTCCATGAACTGGCTTAATCAAACTGAGTCTGCAGCATTTTCCATATTGCTATTTGGACTTTCTTTTTAGAATTACTGTTTCTCTTTATGTACATAATTACCTAGTATTAAGCTTTAAATGAGCGAATAAAGAGACCACTAAGGACAAACACATATGCAAACAGCTGGATTTTATTGATTTTGCTCAAGTATTGTCACTCAGTCATATTTGCCTGTATTTAGAGAAAGATTCTACAACTAGATTTTTTTAGAAGGTAATTCCTGATCCAAAAGTGTTCTCCCACAAACAAGTGCGTGGTTCCCCATTCTGCTCTATGCTAGTGCATTCAAAAACTGACGATAGTACTTAGACTGTGTATCATATAAAAACTTTATTTACATGATGATTAGGGGATTTTCTAATAATATGAAAAAATTGTTGATATAAGAAAAATATATAATTAAATTGATAACATGGGATTTGACTGATTGATTTCACAAATAATGCATTGTATATTATAAACATGAATGATATTGTCTGAATGGTTATGGTCAACATTTTACTTGCTTTTGATTCTCGTCTACAGTGCCATTAGATAATATTTACCAATTATATGTAGTTATCAATTCATTTAACCGAACAAAGTCCGCATTATTATAATTCCAGACACAACGCTTATAAGTATTAAAATGAAGCGCTTCAAAATGAATAAAAATATAACTAGCATAATGATCACTAATGTCGCTCGGAGTTTCTGAAACACCAAAGTCAAATGATTTTATTTCACTAGAAATTACTATTGGGTCAATAAGTGTGGCAGATGTATTTGATACACGAGTCGGCTGATTGATAACATTACTCATATTATTAATAATTAAGATATCACGTAATTTATGGTTTGAATAATTGAGTTGATCTTCATTTACATCACCAAGTAAAACAATGTAATTCGACAATTCATGCGCCTTTTCTAAACGGTTATCCAGTTTTGACCAAAACTCAACAGTAGAATTTGGGTGGCGATAAACAGTGCCTATCAATTTACTTCTTCATTTTTAGATTTGACAAAACGATGCATTCCATATAAAGAAGTTACAATACGACCATATGACAGACCATGGTACGATTAAATAATACGAAGAACTTCCCGGAAGCGTGACAGAAAAAAATCACGTGCAATTAAAACTAATAAATCGTTAGACTGGATTTTATATAAAAAATTAAGAAACAAGGTTAATAATTTAAAAAAGCACGCGAAACAAGTTTTTTTTAATAATTTAGAATTTACAATCAACGATATAAGTAGTAATAATCCTCGCGAATATTGGAAAATTGTGAAAATGTTAGTTAAAGATAATAAACAATGTGAAATAATACCGCCATTGAGACTTAATAATGACTTGTATGTATTTACTGATAAAGAAAAGGCAAATGCGCTCAATGATTACTTTGTCTCTGTATCTTCTATTGACGATTCTAATACTTCTTTACCCATTTTCAATCTTAAAACAAACGAATCTTTGTGTGACATAATAATTAACGAAGAAGAAGTTAAAGACATTCTTTCATGCTTAATAATAAAAAAGGCTAGTGGACCAGATGGGATAAGTCACCGTATGCTTAAAGAAACATCTTCTAGCATTTTGTAAACCTCTATGTACACTTTTTAATCGTTCCCTTCAAGAAAATACAAATCCCACATGTTGGAAAAACGCAAGTGTTATGCCATTATTTAAAAAAGGGGAGCACGATCTTTGTTCTAATTACATACCAATTTCTCTAATAAGTTGCATAGGAAAAGTTATGGAAAGAATTATATTCAAATATATTTACAACCATTTACATATGAACAATCTTATTTACAAATATCAATCCGGGTTTATTCCAGGGCATTCTACTGTATATCAATTAATTGACATTTATCATCAAATATGTAAAGCTTTTGATGAAAAGAAATCAACTTGTATAGTGTTCTGTGATATCTCTAAAGCATTTGACCGTGTTTGGCATAAAGGTCTACTGTTTAAACTGCATCAGTACGGCATTACAAATAATTTGAATACTTGGATTGCTAGCTATCTTAAGTCGAGGAACCAAAGCGTTTTTATTGGTTCTTCTTTTTCTGACACAAAATTCATAAATGCTGGTGTCCCTCAAGGATCTGTGCTTGGTCCTCTTCTTTTTTGATTTATGTTAATGACATTGCTGAAAACTTACTTAGTTTGACTCGTCTTTTTGCAGATGATAGTTCTTTATCAGTAACAAGCGATGATTCTAAATATATAGAAATGACTCTAAATATTGATCTTAAAACTATTACTGAATGGGCAGACCAATGGCTTGTAACCTTTAATCCTAATAAGACAGAAGTATTATATTTGTTCTCTTATTAGAAATGAAAGACCTTTTTTGTACTTTAAACAATGTTCAACTTAATTACACTCAACACCACAGGCATTTGGGGCTAACATTAAGTGATGATGGAACCTGGCATGAACATATTAATAATATAACTAACTCGGCGTCCAAAATATTAGGTTCTATGCGTTTATTAAAGTTCAAATTAAATAGAACAACATTAAATCAAATTTATATTTCCTATATGAGGCCTTTATTAGAATATGCTAGTGTTATTTGGGATAGTTGTACCTTATATGAAAAAGAAAAAATTGAAAAAATGCAATACGAAGCTGCGCGCTTAGTAACTGGTTTGACTCGCTCAGTGTCTATAGAAAGACTTCTGCATGAAATAGGTTGGGTCTCTTTAGCAGATCGTCGTTTAATGCAAAAATTATCAATAATGTATAAAGCTAAAAATGGGGAGCTTCAAAGTTATCTGGACACTTTGTTCCCAAATTTTGTATCAGAAAGTAGCCAATATAACCTTAGAAATAACGATAATTACGTAACAATAGCACGACGAACAGAAATATTTTCTAGATCATTTATACCCTCAGCAATTTCGGCATGGAATAGTCTTGATAATTAGATACGTGACTCGACTTCTTTAAATGTGTTCAAAACTAAACTCAAGGATAAATTCAAACCACACTTGTCCCTAAATATTATTTAATTGGAGAAAGGTTAACATCTGTTTACCATGCACGTTTAAGAAATAGATGTAGTAATTTGAATGATGATCTGTATAGAAATCACTTAGCAAACTCCCCTGTTTGTGAGTTTTGCCATATCGAGGAGGATGCTGAACATTTCTTTTTTAACTGTAAACTTTTTGGTGTTCAAAGACTCCAACTTTTCACTTCCACTCGCCCTTTTCATCCATTAAGTACAAGTACTCTCCTTTATGGAAAAGAAAATTTATCAGTCGATGAAAACTCTTTTTTATTTCATGAGGTTCAAAAATATATAAAAAATACACATAGATTTAAATAATAAGAAATAAGTACATGTAAAAATAACAATCGTTGTTCCAATATTAATTCTTCTAATTCCGCTTATAAATGACATGTTTTGACAGCCATACAAACCATCACATACTGCAAGTGTAGGAAAATTACTACTATTTTTTTTTTTATTATTATTTAAAAAATTGATAAGCAAATGTTTTTTTTGTTTTTGTTTTTCTCTTAAATTTGATGTCGAACTCTATTCGCTACTTTGTTTTTGTTTCCGCCTTAATATTTGTAATTGCTCGTGTGTATAGTGTTTAAACATGTTTTCGTTTCTATATCTTATAATGCTTAAGGGAAGGACAGTTACTAATGTTGCTAGAACTTGTTGTTCAACCCTTTTGCCCTTTGTTAAAAAATGTTGTTTTGTGGAAATAATGTTATAAATTGTATTCAAAGAGCAATAAAATATTATTAAACATACCGTTTTGGTAAACTGCGCGACGGAAATCGACGGAATATAACGAAGACGACGATTACCACTATTTATTTCAATAAATGTGCCTCTTTCGCATAAATCTATCTTGTGATGTTCAACGATCACAACCTAAACTAAACTATTGAACGTTGACAGACAGGGCCAAGTTTAACCTTTTACCAAGAAAAAATGAAAAGGTTTTGAAAACTTATTTAATTCTTTGATGTGCAAATTATGAGTACATTGTATACAGACATTTCTTTTTATTTTATGATATAAAATATGAAACTGATTAATGAAAGATAACTTTGTAATTATTTATACATATGCATCTAATCAGACGCCATACCGTTTTCCAACTAATCACAAATTACTTGTATATCTTATTAGCAATCTGTTACTATTAATTGATTCTATAACACTAACATACAACGTGTAGTCACGTGATTCTTACAATAGAACAGGGAGAATCTGTTTATTATTAGACAAAATAATGAAATATAATAGGTCTCATAAGATATAAACAACCAAATAATTTAAATGTGTCATTTCAAATATCATTTATGATTTATCAATCATAAAATAGCAACGCTTGACACTTAGAAAAAAAGTAAAAGTATCCCTAAATTCAATGACTGGTCCATAGGGATACGTTATTAATTCATTTTATGAAAATTGTAATGTTGCTTTTTAAGATGGCAATATTTGTATATTTCATTTCATTTAGCAACGTTACTTTAACCAAAAAAAGAAACGTGGGAAAATAGTGAGCAGACTTTACGCCGATTCTTTGTTGACCATTTGAACATCGCTCAGCAGTTAGCGGACAATTTACAGTTCGAACGTGTCCATCGCATGGGAGATTATAATCAACGTAGCGGTAATCCACGCAAAATAGTTGCCAAATTTGCCTTCTACAAAGATAGAGAAATGGTGCGTCGCCTCAGAACCAAGCTTAATGACACTCAGTTTTATCTTCACGAGCAATTTCCACCGGAAATTGTAGCACGGAGAAAATCACTCTTACCGAAACTTAAAAATGCCAAAAAACAAGGCCGTCAAGCTTGGTTAGCCTACGACACGCTTTTTATTGACGGGGTACCAGTAAGCGATAAAGAGTCCGAAGAGTCCGACAGAAGCCAGATGCAGAACGGGAACCGGAAGTAGGGACTCGATGAGGCTGGACTGTCCATATTATCATGGAATGTAAATGGACTTAGTAGATCTAAATTAGAGGACAATGATTTTATAAAGAAACTGTGTAATAACGATATTATATTTTTGTTTGAGACTTGGGGTAATAAAAATTCTAATTTTGATATAGATGGGTAGATCTATACAACTTTTAATTTCTATCGTAAATTTCAGAACCGACGAGCAAAGCGATCTAGTGGTGGGGTATTAGTATACATTAAAAATGAAATAAGTAAAGGGGTTACCGTTGTACAGAATCATTTTGACACTATCATTTGGTTGAAACTTGATAAAATATTTTTTAATCTTACAGATGACATATATTTAGCTGGTGTATATATAGGGGTGGAAGGTTCCCCTGCTTATAACTTTATCAATGGTGATTTATTTGATATTGTTCAAAACGATATTTTACTTTATGAAAATCGTGGTATTACATTGTTAACTGGCGATTGGAATGCACGTACAGGTAATGGAGACCGCAAGGATTATATTGTTTGTGATCGTACCGTTAGTTTTACAGACTATGAAGATTATTACCCCGATATGCCTATAGATAGAACGTGTGTCCATGGACTGTCTACATAATAACTCGGGTATTAAATTATTAGATGTATGCAAGGCTAGTTCTTTACGTATTGCAAATGGTAGGCTTGGTCGTGACTATAATAATGGAAACTATACTTATATATGTTCATCGGGATCTAGTGTCATTGACTATCTATTGTTGAAAGAGCAATATTTCAGTTTAGTTAGCGATTTCTCTATACAGAGTTTTAATGAATGGTCTGATCATGCTCCTATATCATTTTCCATTAAATGCCACGTATTGCACGAGGATAATAATATTTATTATGAAAGCATTAGTTTACGATGGAATGACGAGTTACGGAACGAATTCCGTAGAGGTCTTATATCACAACTACCACGTTTAAATACTATTACCGAAAATGTTGATTTTAACGATAGATTACAGTTAAATGCATGTATAGAATCCTTTGTAAATGTTGTGAGAAGCGTGGCAGATCCATTATTTTGTAAACGTAGAATAACATATATTACGCCACGTGCCGATGGTAAACTATGTAAAAAGGCGGAATGGTTTGATGAAGATTGCAAACGTTCAAAAGAGGTATATTTAAATTCTGTATATAAATATAATATGTGTAAAAATGATGTAAATAGAATAGAATTTTGTAATAATAAACTAATTTATAAAAATGTTGTTAAAAAAAGAAACGTAGTTATGAGTTAAAAAAATTAAGAGAAATTGAACGACTTCGTCACTGCAAACCTAAGGATTTTTGGAAATTGTTTACTAAAAAGGCGATACATAAGAATAGTGTTTCCATAGAAGATTTTTATGAGCATTTTTCTACCCTAAGTAATGATTTGCCAAATGTTTTGCATGCCGAAAGTGAATTATTTTGTGAAAATTTAGATTTTTTAGTAATGATGTACTGTACGAGGAGCTAGATGATCCTATAACAGTTGATGAGATAAATTGTGTTATTCGCCATTTAAAGAAAAATAAGGCTTTTGCAGGTGACCAGTTATTGAATGAGTATTTTATAAATTCGTCCGATATTTTATCATCGCATTTAGTTGATATTTTTAATGGTATTCTGAACTCTGGCTTTTTTCCAGATTCATGGATGGAAAGTATTATTGTACCTCTGTTTAAGAAAAATGACCCTGCACTTGCTAGTAATTATAGAGGAATCAGTCTCGTAAGTTGTTTTTCAAAGATATTTACAGGTGTTCTGAATAACAGATTGACAAAATGGTCTGAAGAAAACGATAAAATTAGTGATGCACAATTTGGTTTCAGGATGGGTCGCTCCACAGTTGATGCTATTTTTGTTTTAAATGCTGTTGTTAATAAAATTTTAAATGAAAATGGACGTTTAGCATGCGCCTTTATAGATTTTCAAAAGGCTTTTGATAGTGTTTATCGTAATGGTTTATGGTTTAAACTATATAATATTGGTGTACGTGGAAAAACTTTAAGAATCATCCATGATATGTACTCTAAAGTAAAAGCACGAATAAGGGGCTGTAAATCATATTCAGATTTCCTGGAATGTTCAATTGGTCTTAAACAAGGGAGGTAATGTCCCCGATATTGTTTTCTATGTTTTTAGAAGATTTAGAAATGTATTTATTAAATGATATTAATTCTGGTTTAACATTAGATGATATTACATTCATTCTCATGTTATTTGCTGATGATATTGTTATTTTAAGTAAATCCCCTGAAGACTTACAAAATAGTCTAAATACATTACATAATTACTGTACTTTATGGGGCCTTAAAGTAAATGAAGGTAAAAGTAAGATTATGGTTTTTAGGAAGAGGGGTCCGATTAGAAATAATGAGTATTGGACATATAATAATATTCCCTTAGAAATAGTCGACAATTTTAATTATTTAGGTACTGTTTTTAACTATACAGGTAGTTTTACTTTAAATCAAGAGTATTTAGTAGGGAAAGCACTCAAGGCGTTAAATGTTTTATTGTTCAATTTAAAACAGACACCAGTTAAATTTAGTACTTCTTTGCAATTATTTGATGCTTTTGTTGTATCTATTTTAAATTATGCCTGTGAAATATGGGGATTTAGTAAAAGTAAGGAAATCGAACGAGTACATCTAAAATTTTGTAAGTCCATGTTATGTGTTAAGCAGCCAACTAGCAGCATGGCTATTTATGGTGAGCAAAAGGTACCCTTTATATGTAAACAGATATGTACGTATTATAAAATTTTGGTCAAATATTGTTAACAGTAATAATGTTATAGTTAGATACTTATATACATCAATGTTAAATGATATTAATAGAGGAAAAAAATAACTGGTTGTCTAATGTGAAATCATTGTTAGATAATGCAGGTTTGTCATATATATGGTATAATCCAAGTATTTATAACCATAAAAATGTACATTTATTATTTAAGCAAACTCTTATTGATCAATTCATCCAGTCATGGTATCATAATGTAACAACTAGCCCGAGCCTAGGCACATATAGACTTTTTAAGACGTCATTTGATTACTCACTGTATCTTGATAAAATTCCTAAGAAATTTAGGATTGCTTTTGCAAAATTAAGATTGTCTTCACACCAATTAATAATAGAAACTGGACGGTATGGTAATTGTAGAACTGAACGTAGTGAGAGATATTGTCTTATTTGTAATTCACGTGATATAGAAGACGAATTTCATTTTGTTTGTATTTGTAGTGCTTATAATGATATACGTAAAAAGTACTTAAAGAAATATTATTATAATAGACCTAGTGTCCATAAATTCGTTGAACTAATGCAGAATACCAACAGCAACATGCAACTTAAATTATGTAAATATATATATGAAGCGTTTGAAATACGTCAGGGTATTGTTAATATGATATCTGAATAAGCTTATTACTATATATACCTTTATAAATAAAAAGTATACTAATTGTCCGTGTTATAATTCAATAATTTCATGAACTATTTGACTGATTTTGACTGTTATTTAGCTGTAAGTCATTAAATATACAAAATCTCCATTAGTTCAACCTCCTTGTTTTCTCGCTTCCATTTTCTTTCTTGTTTTGATTATATGTATCATATTTTCCGCTAAAAATATAATTGTCTATAAATTTGTGTCATGTTGACAAGTTATATTGTATCATTGTATATATGTATTGTGTAGCAAGAAACGTCATGTTTACGTTACCAAATAAATATTTTGAATCTTGAATCTTGAATCTTTATTTTTGAATTTTTAAGATTATGAAACATAGAACAGAACAGAACAGAACATTTATTTTATTAGATTTGTACCATAAGTACATCATCGTAACATATTTACAAAATTAATACATTTACATGTAATATAATACAGTCACATATTAAACCAGTGTTTATAATTATCAAATCGCAATAACACATACATTACATTTACACATTTACATTTAATAAAATTATAAATACACAATATAATCATGATACTTTAAGCATACAATTTCATCGTTTTTTATTCTAAGAGGATGGACTTAAATATGTGTAGCAGATGCTCTTAAAGTCATAGCACGTTTAATATAAATAGCTAAATTTTTAAGAATTGTTCTTTTATCACTTTTTAATAGTTCTACAAATTTAAACATGCTTGGTTTTACATATTAATACTTTTTTATATATTTTTTCCTTAAATCAATATAACATGGGCAAATCAAAATAAAATGATACTCGTCCTCAATGTCGTGCTTATTACAGTATATACAATAACGTTGATTTCTATCGATTCTTTGTGTACTGTATCGACCCGTTTGAATGTTCAAAGAATGTGAGGATAACCTTAATTTTGTTAAATAACATCTTAAATTGCAAGGCAAAATATCCAAGTATTTTTCGTACTCAAAATTACTTTTGACATGATTATATACTTCTAAAACAGGACTGTTTTCTTTATTTACATGCCACCCTTGAACAAAATTATCGATAATCCGTTGTTTAAAACATAATATAAAAGTCTTTTCACAAACAGTTTCAGGCGAATCCCACACATATGCAAAACCATAATCATATAATAATTTTTTCACATTTGACAGCCAGTTTTTCTTTCCCAATAAACAATCATCATATGCAATTCTATACGCATACTGTAATATTATATTATCTGTTTTAGTCAGTTTAAACCAATATTTAATAATTTTTACATATCTCATAATATAAAGTGGATATCGTGCAAGTTCACCATATACAGCCGTTGAACATGTCGTCGTTTTAACCTTTAATAATTTTTTACAAAATTTGAGATGAATTCTTTCAATTTCCTTAGATTTAATGAACCCCCATATTTCTGATGCATAATTCAAAATAGAACCAACAAATGAATCAAATAATTGACAAATAATTTTAGGCTTTAATCTATATTTGTGACAATTAATAAGTAACAAATTTAAGGCTTGCTTTCAATG